GTTGGTTATATTCGGAGCATTTCTCTATTACCTGATTGATAGTATGAATGTGGTCAATTGTTGAGTAGCCTGTTCGAAATCCTGCTTGTTCCTTGGTTGATGAATCTAATGTTTTCTTTACTCTGTTAGCAATTACCTTTGTGAATAGCTTGTATACTACAGAGAGCAAGCTGATCGGCCTGTAATTCTTCAAGTCCTTGTCATCTCCTTTCTTATGTATTAAGATGATGATAGCATTCTTCCAAGACTCTGGTACTCTTCCCGTCAGGAGACACCTCGTAAACAGGGTGGCTAGTTTTTCTAACACAATCTGTCCTCCATTTTCAGCAGATCTGATGTTCAGCAGATCTGATCTGATGTTTCAGCAGACCTGATCCTCACCAGCAGCTTTGCCTCTTTGCATGCTCTCGATGTCTACACTCTCCTGAAGTCTAGTCTCCTTTTGGCCTATGTTTACGTTGGCGCTTCATACGGTTTATCTCGTGGGCATATATTGTGAAGTGTTTACCTTCTATCCGCTCCAAATCCTCACAACTCTGGTTATTGCTAAATTATATAACATGGGTGAGAGCACAGCTCCTTGTGGGGTGCCTCTGTTGCCTAGTGCCCCCAACTTAGATTTTAGTTCTCCTAGAGTGAGACTCACTTGTCTACCACTAAGAAATGACTTGACTATGCGGAAAAGCCTCTCGCCCAGACCCGGCATGGATAGGACCTCGAGGATGGCCTTATGCTCTATGCGGTTTAAAAGCTTTTTCGACGTCGAGACCTAAAAGCGCTCTCGTATGCACTGGGCTAACCCTGTATGGGCTGGTGCTTGATCAGGAGCATGGTGTTCTGAGTCGACAGCCCGGGATGGAAACCGATCATGTTATTGCGAGTATGTCATGTTGTTCACGCAGCGCGTGAGTCTGTTGAGAATGACGTGTTCCATAGCTTTACCTAGGCATGACGTAAGTGAGATTACACTGAGGTTATCCAGGCTGAGTGGTTTACCTGGTTTGGGTTTGAGAATAGTATTGGCTCGCTTCCATTCCTCTGGAAATTCTCCTTTTTTTCCATAACTCGGTGAAGTGATCCATCAAGAAAGTGATAGAGTCATCGTCTAGATTCATTAACAGTTGTTAGTACTAATGCCGTCGGGTCCGGCTGCTGATCTGCTGAAAAGACCATGGAGGGCAGCTCGCATTTCACCCTCAGTGAAATCACGGTCCATTTCTTCACGCGGTGGTCCAAAGTACTCTATGTGTTCATCGCTCTCCCCTGGTTGTTTCAGCGGGAGATATTTTTCCACAAGCTACTGCATGATTACCTTTTAAGTCCTGGACTGGCTCGCCTGATGTACTAGTTTCGCAATGGCCGTTCGCTTGTTAGACTTAGTTTTGTTTTCGTTCAATAGGTGTTTGAGGAGGTTCCAATTGCCCCCACGTTCGGCTCATCCGTCTGCCTGGTTGCAAGCTTCGTCCCACTGTTGTTTTGTGAGGGTTTGTGCTGCTCCTCTATCTGTTTATTCAGCAACACTATCTTTTTCCTGAGCTTTCGGTTCAGTCTTTGTGTTTTCCATTCTTGCAGGATGAATTGCTTGGCTTCGATCAGATGTGCGAGCCTACTATCGATGGTCTCTATGCTGTCTTCAGTCGTAATATTTCTAGTGGCCTCCTGCAGGTCCTCTGCGAGCTAGGTGATTCAGGTCTGGAAGGCCTGTCTACCAGTTTCTATGGGTTCCAACCCTAGTCGTTTTGCTCTAGCTTTCCTAAAAAGGTCCCGGTTGGTGCACCGAAAGGTTCTAGTCTGTTGTTTCGGCATTCCTATACCAATGTGCATGATATAGTGATCGTTACCTAGATCTGTGCCTGAATTTTCTCAGCTAGCTTCGTTTGAGTTCTTAACAAAAGTGAGGTCTGGTGTAGAGTCTCTGCATGTGGACGTACCACAGCGAATGGGAAAAGCCAGAGCGGTGATCAGGCTCAGTCCGAGGTCTGTGGCGAGGTCCCATAGCCCTTCTCCTTTCTTTTGTATTCCAAGTGTATCCCCACGCCTGGTAGGGGGCATTAAAGTCACCTCCTAATATAAGCGGGGAGCTCTTGCGATGGCGAGTGCCTTGGTGAAAAGTGTCGTGAAGTTCTGTTTCTTGGCGCTGGGACTGCTGTAATGTTTAAGCAGAAGATGCTGTGCCCCTTGCCCGCCTGCCTTTTAAGTACGACTTCTACTAGGGTATACTCGATTTTAGTCAATCTGAGCGGGATATCAAGTTCGATAAAAGGTAGCTTCCTGTCAACGAGAGTTGGCAATCCTCTCCTGCAATGTTTTCCTCTAGATACCGATTTGTAGCCGGTTAGTTTGACCTCGTCCTATAAAGTTTTCTGACATAACATAACATAACAGACAAAGGTACCGTGTTTACAGATGAGCTTTTGCACACTGTGCTAACGTTTAGTGGCACAGCACATAGGAAGACAACAGCTTACCACCCACAAACGAATGGGCTTACAGAACGACTTAACAAGACAATCGCTGACATGCTTTGCATGTACGTCGACCTGGAACACAAGAATTGGGACCGCATATTGTTCTACATTACATTCGCGTACAATACGGTGCGCCAGGAAACAACGAAAATGACGTCGTTAGCGCTAATTCATGGCAGAGAAGTTACTACAATGCTTGACGCCATGCTGCCTTACGATTGCAATGATTCAGAGACAGACGCGGCAGACTTCACTGAGCGGGCTGAGGAAGCAAGCCAGCTTGTCCACGTCAGAGTAATCATTCAGCAGCAACTTGACGCCCAAGAGTCACCAGGAGATAGAGTCTGGGTTTGGTTTCCTGTACGACGGCGAGGCTTCTCAGAGAAACTCCTACACCGATACTTGGGACCCTACAAGGTTTTGCTCCGTCTTAGCGATGTGGCGTACGAAGTCGTGCCCAACGCCTCCTCCTGTTTGAAATGTCGCCAGCATCTGCCTAAGACAGTGCACGTGGTCCACATGAAACTTTACCACTCTGAGTGATGTAAACACCCGCTGGCTGCACCTCTACCTGGTGAGCATCGGTACGACGCTCACTCTGGAAGGAGGGTGATGCCGCAAGCATAGCTGCGTCTAGCTGCGAGATAGCGACGACAACGAAGATCGCGGATTTGCTCGAGAGGCGCAGCGCAGGCGAGATAAGAAGACGACAATCTTAGCGGCTTTCTTTTAAGAGCGTCTCTACGAGTTCCACTGTCTGTGTTTTAAAATAAACCCTCTGTATTTTATAACCCGCGACAATATACTATTTGGTGCTCTACATGTGGCCTCGCCAACTCGGTCGGTTGGTTGCTACAGCAAAGTCGATTTGTTAATAAGAAAGAAGTGAAAGAGTGTCGGTCTTTCTCTAAATAACAATGTCAGTGAGAAAATATTATTTGACAATGAACTGACAGGATGCGTACTTTAAATACAATACTATTACAAAAAAAATAGTTGAAGGCACCGGTAACAACAAGCGCACAACGTAGGGACATATCTTCCCGTAATTGCAGCTTGCGTACAAGTGATTCGGAACAATGCAATTCGTGCCATTCTGTATAAACTAGTTAAAAATGCATGTACACAGCGTGCAAATAAACGTGTTTTGCACCCGGTGCAGTGGTGATCACGGTTAAGCCCGATCAGGATCAAATATCTAAAGTGATTGGAGTCCTTCTGCAGCTGGTGTAATAGAGTCAATAGTCAATCACATCAGGTTCGATCCCGATCAAAATTGCGCGTGTGGCAGTGCTCTAAGTTATAACTTTCAAAATGCTGAAACAGCATAACTTGTGCTGCACAAACAGGAACGATCCGTGGGTGGCCACCTATTGCCCTTGATCTTTACCAGCCACAAGTAAGAGTGGCTTTTTCAGATGTTTCAGAAATCTGAACACCCTATAGCCATTTCGCGAGTGGTTTGTGCACTGTGGCACGCAACACCCAAGCGCTTCGCCCAAGAAAATGCCGCGCACTTGTGTCATTCACCAGCTGCGACGAGACAGGGGAGAGCCGAATGGCGGCCGCCGATCAGAAATAGGCACTCATTCTTTCAAAAAGTGACTCCACCTTGCAAGGGAGTACGCGCATTGAGGAACCCTGAGAAAGCATGGAAGGGGCACTCGGCGAGAGGGCAAAGCCGCTTGGATACCGTGAAGGTGGTGCATAGGTGTTCTTATGATATACAGGTGTTCTGAGGTGGTGTTGACTGTAGCGAAGGAGAAAGCGAAAGGAGTAATTGTCGCGATTTTGATAATCAAACGTTTGCTATTGCGGCACCATTTAGAAAAATTCTCACGGCTCGGTGTTCGTCGTACACTCATGCACAAATGCCCCATCACAACTTAATTTCGACCTCTGGGTTGTTTATTACCTCTTTAGAGCTAGAGTTCAACATCGGGTGTCTGCGAGGACCCTCTGTGCATTTGCTTATCATCCATGCTCAACGAGGGAGACAGTCTGAGCAGCTGCCAAGCAGAGTTTCCCAGCTAGGTGCGAGCCGTGTACGCCCGCAGCCAGCTCTTAGCTTAGGTCTGGCGCTGGAGCTTACACTATGCAATCCTTGCATAGCTTCGGCTCTACTCTGCCAAGACTTCAGGAGATCAACCAGCTCCTTATGCCCTTCACGGCTAGCAGGGATGCGAGGCGGTAGGATCTCGGTCAACATTCTTCGGTGCAGTAACGATAAGCTAGGTTACAACACTCACATACAGCCTATTTGTGTGAAAGACCCTTCAGAATTACGTGCCAACTTTTCTATGACTATTATTTGCCAGTAACGTCACAGCAGTGAAAGAAGCTCTCCCCCCACAACTTGCGGATGCACCTCTATGCAATAAGTACTGGGGGCGCCCTTGAAGATTAATGTGTACTGCCTCCCCCCACCCTACTTTTTTTAGCTGTGAGCAAATGCCGTATGGCTTTACGATTTGCTGTTATAAGCTGCTTCCACTACGGCATTTTTTTTTTTTTTCTCCTTATCGGCCGCAGCGACGGTATGCGCCGCTGGTACCAGGAGCTGCAGACGCTAAACCGTGAGCTGTTCAGTGATCACCGGGTGCGTTGCCAGAGCCACGAGGAGCTGTCCCGCTGTGTGCGCGCACTCAACCGGGGCATCGAGAGGGCCTCGGCCCTGCGGGTGGGACGATACAAGGCCGCCACTGTGGCCGCCTGTCACCAGGCCTTGGCGCCAACTGCCGAGGGGGGCGCCCTGCTGCAAGTGCTCAGCCGAGGAGCGACGGCGTGAATATTGATCGTCTCTTCGATGGCCTGCATAACTTCCTGGCACCAATCATGCACCACTTGAGTGTGTTCCTCCTTGATAATTATTTTTCACACACACATTATAATTGTTTGAGTATACCCTGCTCAGATCCAAGAAAGAAATGTTATTTATTTCAAACGTATTAGATGCGAAGCAGCTCTTTGACTAGCCTGTGTAATGCTGTCCCTCTGTACACCTCCACTGCCCATGCTCGTTTGTCGTGCCGGCCTAGGAAGACACCCGCAAAACTATAGCTCCCCTTCCTCTCTCACGCCTCGCAAGGCCGACGCAGGCAGTGTCTGATGATAATGGCCGACTGCTCGCGCTGCAGAACCATTCACTGGCCACCCTGTGTATGTAGGCACTGGATCACGCGTTTTAAATTCAGTCAAGGGCGTCTTTACTTGGCTTTCCTTTGATGAGTGTCAGTGCCGTCACCGCCAGTCTAGGTGTAAGTGCCTGCTGCTTCGCATCTACCCAAGCTTTCCTTTAGTGGGAGATGGTTTGGTTTGGGAGAATTTTATTCTGAGAATCTGAAGGCGTGTGCCACATGGCAGGCTATTCCCACGATGGGACAGTAAGGCCGAGACCATGGACCGAGACCTACTGCCGCATCGGGGGCCCTCTGGACAGCTCAAAGTTGTGATGTGTTGGCCGTACTTCGCAGAACGAATTTCCATTTGCTGAACGATGCTGCATCGGTGCCGCCTGACGAAGGGCGCTCCCAGAGCATGTGGTGCAAGATGGCTAAACTGCCACATTTCGTACAAGAGTTGGTTAGTAAACCTCTAAGCGGGAGATCGTCCAATTCTTTATTTTATTCCGAAGCCTACAAGAATATGGAAAAAGATTTATTTAGAGCGTACAATAAAAAAATATGAAATTCAATAATTATTTTCCTTAATTAAATTCCATTAGAGCATATATAATTAGGCTAAACATCTATTAACTGCATTTTACAACAAAGGGTATGCATAAAACTATATTACAACTTTATTGAAGACCCTTCAGTAGTTTTGTCATGCATATTGTGTGAAAATAAGCCAAAGAAAAATCTTCAAGGACTAAAAAGTTGTTTGCTGGAAGACACCACATTGAAACCCACCGTGCCATGTCTTAAGAAATTCAAGTTGACGGTAAAAAATATTTGCTTCACAATCAGCTGCACTTGCTCAAAGCAATGACACCAGAAGGGGTCACTGATGAGGATAGGACGCATTCAACTTTTCGTATAGCCCATTTATTTTTAGCCTGCATTGATTCACCTAAACTCAACTGTGTAGGACTGTTTAAGTCGCAACTGTAGCTGTTTAAGTCGCAACTGTACCTGTTTTGGGGAAGACTCAGTAGAAGAGTGCAGTTATGCCCGCTGTGAAACCATGCTCATTTTGAATGCAAAGCATTTCTTGTGTACTACAGGCACTATTGACGTCCGTCTGTCTAACCGCCTATGTCTAGGTGCTTTCGTGATCGCCCCCTAAACACGCAGTTAACCAAGATTAGTACAGGAGATTAAGATGGTTTGATGAATATGACGCATTGATCATGACATAAAAAATATGACAATCCGTGAGCAGCTACATGACAGTTTATATCTACAGTCGAACCCAGGTATATCGAACTCGCCAAAAAACGTTTATTAGTTCCATATATGGCATAATTCGATATAAGCCCGGTATAGGTTTTGACACAAAGGCACATAACAAACTAGAAGAAAAGTACTTTATTAATATGGTGGCTTACTTGCGTGCCCTACTGTGGAACAAAATAGTCCCGGATTTTTTTCTGTGTCAACGACTTCGCTGCCTGAGACAGCACGCACACCCCCACGTTGTCTAACGAGTGGAAGCAGCTGAGGCCGCAACCTTCCACATTCAAGCAATAGCGCCGGACCAACGCAAGTGCACTAATCACTTCGGAGGATGTAGGCAATGGGCCGTCGTCAATTTCCATATTGCTGTCGCTCTGGCTCGTGGTCGGCACGACGTCTGCAATGTAATCCTCATCTTGTAATTGGCCCATGATGGGGACATCATCGTCCGCACTGACGAACTCGTCGAATGTCGATCTGTCGATAGCACCCGGTAACTCTGCCAGCTCGTTCCAAACATCGGCGTAAACACCTGTGGTGTCTTCAGTGCTGTCAGAATTTGGGGTGTCATCACCAGGCATGCGGAAGCCGGCATGCCTAAAGTCGTTCTGGATAGTCTCCTTCTTGACATCTGCCCACGATCTACTCAACATAGAAATAGCTCCAAGCAAGTCGATCTTAAGCTCCCTGCCGACACGAAGGTTCTGCAGCAGCCTCTCCACCAGGTGCTTCCGATAGCCGGCTTTAATTGCGCGTATAACGCCTTGATCCAGTGGTTGCAGTACAGACGTAGTGTTCGGGGGCAAAAAACACAGCTTGATGTTGCTGAAGGTCGTACTGCAGTGGTGTGATGAACAATTGTCCACGAGCAGGCACACCTTGCGATTTTCGCCTACCAAATCATCATTGCACGACGATAGCCATCTGCTGAAAAGCTCCCCGGTCATCCACGCTTTTGAGTTTGCTCGGTAGGTAACTCGAACCGACAGCGCATTTTGAAAACACCGCGGTGCCGTGCTTTTCCCGATAACCAGAGGTCGAAGCTTTTTCGATCCGTCTAAATTAGCTGCCAACAGCATGGACACACGAGCTTTGTTTGCCTTACCGCCGCTTGTCTTGTCGCCACGACACGCAAGTGTCTTGTTTGGCAACATTTGCGAAAATAGAGCGGTTTCATCCGCATTGAAGATATCTTGGGCTCTATATCTTGCTGCGATATCTCGCCAGTTTTCCTCGAGCCATTTTTCTAGGCTGTCCAGGTCCGCCACTCTGCTTTCACCTGTAACAGCTTTGCCAACGATGTCGTGCCGTTCTTTGACCCGCTGAAGCCAGCCTGAACCACTTTGGAAATCATTCCTGCGAAGTAGAAAAGCAAGGTCCTTGGCTTTCTGCTCGATCATAGGGCCGGACACCGGGATGTTTCGTGACCGAACGTCCACAAACCACTCGTAAACGGCCGCTTCAACATCTTCGTACACCGCAGCGCGCACACGTCGGGCGCCACGGGCACCTGGCCTTTTGTCTGACTTGGCCCTGATCTCTGCCTTGTTCTTCAGGATAGCACTCAAGATGCTCCTTGGAATTTTGTACACGGTGGCGACGCCGAACTTCTTTTCACCGCGCTCAACCTGATTGATGATTTTGAGTTTCGCGGCGAACGGCAAATTTTGCCTCTTTGCGCACGCCATGACGACAGCGCGCCAATACAGTTCACAGAGCACCAACAGGCAACACCACAGACCACGCTGAATCGGCAGCAGCAGGCACACAAGCATAAAAAAAAAAAAAATGGCACTCACTTCTACCGTTTCTGCGCCTCGGAGAAAGCACGACGGCCTCTGATTGGCTGTAAGCGCTGCGAGCGAGCCAGGATCATTTCTTGGAGGGGGGTGTTCGCCCGTGCACAACCGGGTCAAACCAACTTTTTCTAGGGTGGCGCCGGCAGTTTTCTCCGCCACCGCGAGGAAAAGCCAACTTGCTGGGGCACTTTTGAGGCACATGGAGTTTGATATATCAGTTGTCTTTGCTATTTTCGTTCGATAAAACAGTAACTTTTGCTATATATTCTCAATGTAATCTTACCGTGTTTAGGAATTGTTCGATATACGGGATAATTTGATATAAACGGGTTCGATATAATCGGGCTCGACTGTACCTAGAAATGGCGAGAACAGACATTGATAATTTCAGTATCCATCTGGAAACTGCGAGAACAGACATTGGTCATTTTAGTGTGACAGTGTCCAGAAAGAAGCTGACATCGGCAGTGCTGACCCGAAAAATGCAAAGAATAAATATCCGGGCCCCAGTGCTGCAATTGAATCCAAGCATTCTGCATGGCAATCAAGTATTCTACTACAGAACAACACCAGGTCTCGTGTATGTTGGGAAAAATACAATAATCAGGTGTAATGTTGGTGAAACATCAATTGTGGCTACAATGCTGGCTATCCAATTTTATAAACACCACAAATATCCTCCTATAGTACAGCCATCTCATCAGATTAACGTCAATTGTGGTTAAGTGCCGTAAATTGAAGTTGGTTTATGTAGCAGTGTACAGGGCTACCATCCTCGCGAACACAAGTGCTACACATCAACTTACGACTTCTGATGTTGCTAGTACTCGTTTTACTGTTGGCATCGTTACGCACGTGTAAACAACTTGTTATATAAAACATATGCGTTTGTGCAACATATATCTATGTGTAAAACATCTGTACATTTATTTGGCGTCCCTTTGTAATGTGTCGCTAAAAAAAGTTGAAACGTAGTCACTTTCCCTCTGCATACATTGCATAACATTGATTGCCAAAGTATGTGGGCATAGAGTTTCTTAAAATTAAATAGAGGGGCTTCTGGCACTGCGATAGTCTTCATGCTTGCGATCCTCTTCAGTCTTCATGCTTGCGGAATCGAACCTTTATTGCAGTGTTTCAGTTTTGTTTCAAATAAAACAACTGTTTTCAACTTCAAGACCCGATTCAAGTTGGTGAGCCTGGAAGATTAAGGTCGTGAAGAGTAACTAATAAACTATTACTGATTGTTGTTTTATAAAAAAAATCGCCATGCCTGCGCGGAATGTGCAGCACAGTCACAGCAAAAACTGGAAGAGTGGCCCTTCAGAGCCTTTTCTGAACACCCTTTGGGTAACTGCTACAAGTACGCTTGCTGGGTACCCATTATGGCATAATCATAATTTCTGTGTAGTAGGCTGGCATTCACTAAGCTATCTTTTGTCATTTTTTGGAGAAGCGTGGTATACGCTACACAGTTGCAAGAAATTTTGTGCCAATTTTTCACGCAGTGGCTGATGACGATGGATAGGCCTGGAGTGGGTATGCGCCACAGTAAATAGGTGATCAAGAACAAACTTTTGTAAAGGGTTGGA